TGAGAAATATTCATGCTCATTCTCTTCTATCTTCAATCTTGGTGAAAGAAAACATTATTCAGCAGGTTTAGAAACCTGGGAGTTGCCTTGAAACCCAACTTTCCTTCATACCTTCATTCATTTAATTTCTGCATGTTATTTCCTCCCTCTCCTATACAAGGCTTAATTCATCTCTCTCTATTACTCTCTCTCCACATCTACCACTACTGCCTTAGTTTCAGTTCTCATTATGGTACCTGTCTCCTCCAGACCCATTCCTCTACTCCATACTGCAGCCAGAGTGAGCTCCTGTGACACCAAATGAATAATGTTGGTCAACAGCTTAAACTACCATATTGAAGTATTATTTATGATAGCACAAACATTGAAACAACTCAAGTGCTCCTCACTGATAGACGGGTAAATTGTGGTATCTTTGTGCAATACAATACTATATAACAACGAAAAATGAACAAGCTACTGTGTAACCAGCCACATGAATGAATCCCATGAATATGCCACTGAGCCAGATCACAAAAGACACAATTTTGTATGAATTATGTGTAAGTAAGGTTTGACACTGTCTATGATGTTGGCAGGCAGGCAGTGGTCATGTTTCAGGGAGTAGGGTGACATGACTGGCTGGGGCAAAAAAGGGAAGATGTATTTAGGTGTTATGCCATTTCTTGGTGGAGATGAGTATCTGTAGCTTTGCTTTGAGAAAAGTTTAGTTTACCAATTATCATTTGTACACTTTCCTGTATGCATCTTATTCATAATAAGTACATTTAGAATTCCTATAATAGATTTAAAGTTTAGATCTCAGGAATATGAAATAATGTCCAAATTCACAGGAACTCCTACATGATCTGCATTTCCAAGATCATCTCTTTAGCTATTCTCCTTCTGTGTGTTCCTTTCACTCACACTGAATTTTGTCCAACTCCCTGAAAAGGACAGCAGGGCAGGTAGTTGGATCACAAATACAGTTTCTAAATGAATGAATGAATTGTGGAGCTGATAATACTTAGCCTGTAGAGATTTTGTGAGCATTAAGTAAAAGAATATATGTACAGTTCTTAGCACATTTCCTGAAGTATATCTGGCACTCATTACAATTACACTGACCTTCTCTCACCCCACCAGGCTGCTGAATGAACCAATGATGACTCTGAACATTATTAGGGTATTTGAGTAGCGTTCGAGGCAGTGTTTCCTATCAATCTCACTATCCATCTGGAGAAGTTTATTCCCAAGACACCCTAGCTTATCTTTGAAACCTAAGATTATAAATCTTGACCCAAATTTTACTTTGGTGGGCAAGCTGTCCCAGCAAAACCCATACTTTAATATTTAAGTTAGATGCTTCGCCAAACCCTTGGAAATATCACCATATGCCCAGTACATGACAAAGGATAAAGAGCTGCTGCAGCTAGAAAAGACATTTCATGGGGTCAAGTTTTACTTTCTTTGGACACTTTACGTAGATGGGTCATTCTAAGGACCTGAGAGTTTGAGAACTGTAAGATGCTGCTACTATTTCTCAAAATATCATCTTCTTGCTAAAAAAATGTTTTCCTGCTTGTGCCAGATTTCATAAAGACCTTCCATCTGGTCTCTACTGATAACTAAAATCTCAAGCTACTAGTTTCTTCTTACAACTTATAGTTTAAAATGAACCAGATGTAGAAGGATTGGGTTTTACAGCTTTTTCTAACGGATCATGTCTTCCTTATTCCTTATCATGTCTTCCTAATCGTACAACTGCACATTTCAAGACCTGGTCAACAGGAGAGTGCTGACTATGAACATATTGCAAGAGTCCACTGGCTATGTGTATGTTTTCATTTGGCATGTCTAAGAGGAATATAGCTGTGACATAAAAAGCACTGGATCTATTGATCTATAAGGACAAGAACCAAGTAGATCACAGTATGCAAGATGGGACAGGGAGGTAGGGAGAACGAGAGGGAGGATTAAAACTGAAAAACAAGATTAGAATCAAACTATGTCAGGAATAAAATTCATCAAAGAGTTTGCCAGAATCCATCTAATGATCACTATAAAATCTGGTTCTCAGTTTCTTAATCTAGAAAAAGTGAAAAGGGACGTCAGCTATGAAAAAAGTAGATGGAACACTGAAAGTTTTTCATTCCCAGATCTACTTTGGTAAATTGATTGCCCTGGACCCTAATCTTCAGGGGCCACAATACTGGTTCTACAAAATGACTCAAGGAAAGGAAAACAAGAGAAAGTTAGTCCCTCTAAAGAGCCAATGACCAATTTCTCTTACTTCTTGTTCTTTGTCCACCCCTCCCCGCAATATAACATACTCCTTCTTCTGTGTTTCACTGAGGAAATGTTCATACAATTTTAAAGGTATAAAAATGTGGGAGATGGAAAAGAAAGGAGCTTAAAGCAAAGCATGAATTGCCTAGATTCACCTGTCATGAAGTGGCCTTGATAACACATGATATAAACAATACATTCTTATTTGGTTGAAAAGTCACCTCTTGAGTAGCTTCAAGCATATTTTTCAAATCTAAGTAAACCTACAGAGCTAGAAGTGTTTTCCATTAAAATTTTAAACTCAGGTCTTTTCTTTTTAAAGGGTAGTATAGCAATAAAATTCCAAGAAGAACCAAAGAAACACGAATAAATGGCATGTGTGTGGAGGTGAAGGTAGGGAATCAGAAACCAAACATGAGAAAATAATCTGACAAAGGAATCCACTTTCAATTCATGGTACTGGGATCTTGTGGGTGAAAGGTGCTGCTTGTGATGTGCTTCCACCCACCCCACCCCAGTACTCACAGAAGGGAATGGAAAGATTTTGAAGTGTCTGCTGGCATAAAGAGGAGTCCTGGATTGTGTTTCTTCCTAAAGATCATCTCTGAGAATCCAGGACTTTGTTACTTTTCTCAATAGAATACAAATGTATTTGCCCACTGGATGCTCACCAGGGAGCAAAAGTTTTGAATAGATACCAGCAAGATTAACTAAGGTAACCTTTGTTAAAGGGCTCTGGCTCACCATCTCAACATATGCCCCTCCCTTGGGCCTCAGAAGATGGGGGAGGGGCACTTGGTCTGGGACTGTCCTCTGTAAAGTAACCATAGTCAGGAGAAAAGAATGAAAACTTGAGTTTACTATGTTTGTGATGCTGATTTCTGTGGGATTTAAAAATTGGCAGTTGATAGATACAAATTGCTAATTTGAATACTTATTAATATAAAATAATTTTTGAAGTCTTCATCTTTGGAAATCTTCATGGAAAGAACAATAACCACCTTAAGGAACATTTGGTAGTGCATATAATAAGACTCTAGGGACCACAGTCATGGTGTGTGTGTATAGCAATCCTGGGCTTCTACAGCTCTTATCAAGTGATGATGCCATAATAGTTAAGTTCTACCAACAGTAATGATTCGGATTTGGGTGAGTTTCTTTGTATAGCTGTCCAGTGATAAAATGCCTGGGCAAAAACACTCTCCTACCTTTATGCTCCAAAATGGTTATTGTGAGGTGCTGAGCAACTCTAGAAAGGAGGGATATAATTTGCTGTAAACATGGTACATAATTTGAGCTGAGCTCTACTTAGGCAGGCATTTATTTTCATAACTCGTAGTCTGGAGGTTAAAATTCTGAAGGGATGAAAAAAGTAAGACAGATATATTTTCTGTGTTTGCTAAGAGGGCCTCCAACACCTCTTAGCTCACTCATACTTTGGAGTCAGGGTCATCTCATTTAATTCAGCAGGGAAACAAGAATAAAAGCTTGCTCGTAATCTTTTTCTATTTCAGATGTGTATTTCCAATATGCTTTCCATGGGAACAGCTGCAAAGGGAGCCAGACTCCAGCTCTTTCACCCTGCCCCATGTGCAGGGAGAAATCAGGGAAAGTGGTGGTTCCCAAATCCACCCTGGGTTAAGGTTACGCACATTAGATCAAATGTGTAAACGATGGCAAATGTATGTTCTGGGGGCAGTGGTGAGGCTGAGAAGAGGAGCATACGCTGGTTGGAGAGGGGTAAACTGTAAGAATGGCAAAAGAACCTGGATTATTTAGGGAAAACACCCTTCCCCCATTCCATTTTACCATATATTTTTCTCTCCTGGATGCTGAGAGATTGTTGCAGGAGGCAAGGAAGGGCAGAGAGGAAGGTTAGAAAGAAGCACGATGGGGTGCTAACACCTTCTGCCTCATCCTTCTAACTCAAGGACAAGCAGGTTTGGGGTGAATACAAGGTCTAAAACTGAACACAGAAACATACAACATGTATGGATTTTAACAATGCAAAGCCATGTATTATGCAGGGGTGGGAGCAGGAACCACATCCATTTAGCTTCAATTCCCTGCCATGCTCTTGTAAGGAGCTAGTTTCCCACCTTGCTGTACTGGGTGGAATTAGCTCAGGATGGAACTTACTGTCTTAACTCACACTTTCAGGCTTTTGTAATTTAATAGCAAGAGTCAGCCCCATCACTTCCCCACTTGGGTCTTTTCATTATTTTCTGAGGAAAGGAGCAACTGTACAGTCCATTCTAATCAAAGCTTGTTCAATCAGCGCTGGCTTTGAAATCACCTCGTCCTTCAGCAGTTGCCAGAGTGGTACCATCTCTGCGTGATTTCCACTCAAGTTTTTCCTCCTCACACTCCTTCCACATTCATTTTATCCGCCTCTCCCCCCAACCCCCGAATCTTTTTAAAATTTTTTTTGAAAGCAAGATATGATTCTTAGACCACCGTTACACACAAACATCATACGCGGGTTCACATCCCTGGGGGCTGGGAAGGGGTGTTGTTTGGTGAAGAAATGCAATATGTACTAATAAGAGATCCAAGAGGCAGGCACAGTGACCAGGCAACAAACCCTGTGATCTCCCTACCCGTGCCCCAAGCCCTCGCTGCCTTTTTGTCTCAGAGTGGGCAGAAATCTGTAAGCCAGACCTTTCCTCCCTCCCCTGGGGTGGGGTGTGCAGGAAAGCCTAGGTCAACCCCGCAAGGCGTGCGCCCCTCACCTTGACGGTGCGTGCAGCCGGTAGCACTGGGCGAACTGGGGAGTCCTGCTGGCTCCAGAAGTCTCTCTCCAAACCCGCTTCTTTTCTTCCCGAGCTTTATTAAAGCTCCGATTCTCGAAACACCGGCTCTGGGATACGCGGAAGCGCCCTGGCGCGGTCTCCCCCAGCGTCCTTCGCCCCGACCGGCGCCCCTGGACTGCGGCGGGACCCAGCCAGGAGCGCCGCGCGCTGGGTAGCCGCGTGGTGCGGCGGGCTGCAGGAGCCGAGCTTCGCTAAGTCTGGGCGCTCTGACGAAGGGGAGGCGAGAGCTAGAGCTGGTGAGAGCAGGAGGAGGAGCAGCAAGGGCCAGTGTGTGAGATCCACCTGCAGGTTGCAGGCACCAGGACGCCACTGGACGTGAAAGGGTGGGTGGAATGAAAAGGTGAACCGAGGTGTAACCTGAGGCGTAGTGATGAAGAACTGGGGAATCGGAGCTCTGAATTGCTTCAGGTCTAGCTTAGGCTGTAAAAGCGAAGTTCTGGACCTGACGGCTCCCGGAGGGCTCTCGGTTGCGAACGCTAGAGGGCAGCGCTGTCCACGCTATTAAACTGGCCTAGAGGGTCGGAGGTGTGTTCCATCTCCTGAGTTCTGGGTTGGTGGAGGCCCAGACACAGCAGGGGCCAATTAGGCAAAGAGAAGCAGACCCCATTACCCTGTCTGAGATCCACCTGCTTTGGGAGAGGAGGGAGGGGTTAGTTGTACATTGCTTCTTTGTGAATCCTCCAGCCAAACCCTCTGAAGGTGAATTACTCAGCTTTTCTGGAAGGGAAAATTGTAGCCCCCGCCCATAGGATTTTTTTTTTTAAGATTTATTTTTTTATGCATACAAAACTGGGGTACAGGCCAGAGAGAGGTGCAGGGGTAGTGAGAGAATTAACCAGAGACAGAGTGGGGAGCAGAACGTGCCGACTGATGAAGTACACTGCTGAAGAGAGCAGCGGTTGGGTCAGGAGAGGTCTGCTGATCCATGTGGGTCACGGGGGGGGGGGGATCCAACTCATGCTGAAGTGGCTTTAGCTACTTAGTGCTGTGCTCTAACCCGCTGCGCCACCAGGGAGGGTCCTATCCATAGGATGCTTTAAGGAAAAGGTGGAGGCAAATTAGGCTGGGAAAAAGAGGAAGTGGGCAGAGAGGCAGAGGAAGCTGTAAAAAGGACACACACACACACACAAAACGAGAAGGTGGCCCTCCCTGGTGGCGCAGAGGGTTGAAGCGCAGCACTGAGAAGCTAAAGCCACTTTCGCATGAGTTTGATTCCCACCTGCCCCGGAGGTGACCACATGGCGTGGCAGACCTCTCCTGACCCGCCCGCTGCTCCCCTCAGCAGTGTACTTCATCGATCTGCCTGTTCTGCTCCCCACTCTGTCCCTGGTGAGGCCTCTCGCCTCCCCTGAGCCTCTGGCCTGTACCCCAGTTCTGCATGTACAAATAAACAAATCTTTAAAAAAAAAAAAACGAGAAGGCGGTGAACTGAGAGACTTGTTGAAGGCTGGTGAGGGGAGGGGCCCCCATTTTTCTGGAAGAAATGCTCTCTAAGAGGCTTTGTGTTCTTCCTGGTAGTCCAGGAGTGTCCAAGTTAACATGGGAGGGACTTCTTAGAATCCGGGCATTGTGAAGGGAAGTTTCCTTAGGATTGTTTAGTTCCTCCTTGTCAGGAACCTGGACAACTCTAAAACCTTTAAATTTGACATAGATTTTCTGCTATTCCAGTGGGAAAATAGCATTATTTGAACAACAAATCTAGTAGTTAGGATGAAGAGATGGGCAACTATGAAAGAAAATGTTATATTTGATGCAAGCAGTATGATCTGTAGGCAACCTGACACAATCTTAGAATTGAAGGACTTTGGAAGCCTGTAGACCAGCCATGTAGCTTCCCAAATACCTGCCTCCCTGTGCCTTTCTCCTGTGTAGCCTTAAGGCTGAATTGAGAAGCTTTTTTTTTTTCCCTGTAGGTTGGCAATTCTAAGATAAATGAAAATCTTCAATTGAGAAAGCAAGCATGTGTGCCTTTCTTCTTGCCTTCTGGAGTGCCTCTCACGGCCAGCAGGCACTGGGTGAAGAGTGTATGGACCAAAATAACTGTGGTTAAATGAACCAAACTTTAAAAGGAAGTTAATATAACCAAACTGAGGACCCAGGCCCAGGGAAGTTTATGGATTTATCTGAGTGACTGAGGTTTGGTCTCAGTTTATATAGGTAAAATGGTCTGTATAAAGAAATAATGAATTGTTATTTAGATAGGAAACATCCAGGTAATTTCTAACTTTTTTTCAGTAACTAAAGGAATTTGGTTCTAATGCTTTTTTTTTTTTAAAGATTTATTTATTTATTCATATGGAACTGGGGTACAGGCCAGAGATGCAGAGGGTGAGAGAACCCACCAGACACAGAGTGGGGAGCAGAACAGGCAGATCGATGAAGTACACTGCTGAGGGGAGCAGCGGGCGGGTCAGGAGAGGTCTGCATCACCATATGGATCTCCTCCAGGGCAGGTGGGGATTGAACTAATGCGGAAGTGGCTTTAGCTTCTCAGTGCTGTGCTTTAACCCGCTGCGCCACCAGGGAGGGCCAGTTCTAATGCTTTTAATGAATGAAAGAAGAGATTCATTCTTTATAGCTTCAAAGTGTTCCCTTAATTTTACATAGTCAGAGATAGCTATTTAGGGGATAAGACAAGGGTCAAAAGCCATTGGAGCCTTTTATACTAGAAAATACCCTTATAGAAGTGAGGGTACAATCAGCACCATCTCAGACTGTGGACTTTCTAGGTGTTTTCTATGCTTCTTACCCCTGGTTTATTGACAGCAGATAAAGACATTGTCTTGCTAAGTTCATTCTCTAAGGTTTCTCTGTCAGGGCAAAGGACACATTTCCAGGAGCACAAAATGTAGAATTTTCTTTCTTTCTTTTTTTGGTCCACAGGTATGAAGGGGAATTTTATTGTCAATGGAAAGATAGGTAAACTAGAGCCTTGGGTTGTAATTTGTTTCCATTAATGCTATTAAACTAATAGAAAAGACTCAAGTGGATTAAAGTTTAACAATTAGAGGGGATTTTCTTATCAAAGAAAGGTGGTATTTCCAGGTCATCATTTTGAAATATACTTGATCATAGAGTATCAAGTACAAAGAAATAGAACAAGCATCACTCTCTACCTTTTGACTCATAGAGTCAAAGTTTCTCAAGTTATTCCAGGAGTAAGTAAGAAGATGGTCCTGCTCTGTTAACTATGAATTCCTCTTTTGGAAAGATGATAGGAATTTGAATTCACTCTGTGACTCTTTTATAACTTATCTTACTTATTCTTTGGTTGTTATTGTGTGAGAAAGTATGAAAACATATGTTATACACTTAGAAACTTTCTTGAACATATCTCAGAATACTTTTGCTTTGGCAGATTTCAAATTCATTAGGTTCATGGTTATTCTCAAGCTATTAATTAACTTCTGGGACATATTTTCCCAGTTTTAATGAAAGCCAACATCTGCTTAATTAGGAGCTGATAATTCAATTTGTGAATTGCCCATTTGAATTTCCATGGGGCTATATGAATGCTTTAAGATGGTAAGGATATGTAAATCACATTTATTTCATAATGGAGAGTTTCTCATCAGTTTAAAAAATATCTATAAGGATGAGTGGTGCCCTGGGCATATGGCATATCAAATCCATCAGCCTGCAGTAAGAATTCAAAGTCATTATGAAGGAATTAACTTATCTAACCCATTCACTAAAAAAATGTTGATAAACACCTACTCTGTTCCAGACATGATCCAGCTAGTAGGAATAAAATAAAGATATAATTTCTCCTCTCACAGACCCTAGAGGCTAATGAAAAGGCTGATTCATTTACTAAAATATCTATTTGGAAGGAAGGGATAGTTTGGCAAAGGGAGAAGGAAGGCTGTGGGAACATGAAGGAGGGTCATCTAATCTAGCGTGGAGAATCAGGTAGTGACAGCTAGAGGGGAAGGTGGCTGTATTCAGTGTATATGGGAGGGACAGTTGGTGGTGGGGAAAATGATGAACAAAAGCATTCCTCCACCTCTAAGATAATCTCCATCACCATTGTTACCAGTTCACTTGGGTGCTGGATCTTCAGTATCTGAGGAAGTAAGCATGCACGTGGCATGTGTATCTGCTGAGAGCCAGACTGAAGGTTGCATAAGACTTGTTCATATCACGAGGACACAGAAAAGGCAAGATTTTAGTAGATATTTGTCTGTCATTTCCTACGTTTGCCATGGAAGTGAGAATGTATGTGAAGGAAAGGAGTTGCAGTGGGAAGGCAGCTCATGTCTATTGGGTTTGTACCACTGTAGGTACTTTCCATATGTTATCCTAGGCAACAATGCCAATAGCCTTCTGACAGCATTCTTCAAATTGTGTTCTATGTTGTGGTCAGAGACAGAGTATGAGCCTTCTATAGGCAGCTTTCTGCATGTCCAGTAAGTTATGGTAACAAAGAACAACCCCCAAATCTCAGCAGCTTATTCCAGCAGAGGCTTATAGCTTGCCCACAGTGTACATTGTGTGTGACTTGGCTGCAGGTCCACCCCACATATTCATAATGGGCCCCGAAGATGGGGAAAGGCCATTCTCCTGGCAGAGGAAGCATCACTGGGGAGCATCACAGTAGTTCTTGAAGTTTATGCTTAATTATAGGGTAAAGTGCTTTTGCTCACATTCCCTTTGCTAAAGCAGTTTTTTTGAATGAGCCTGATGTTGACTGGAAAAAGTTGTAATTCCTCCACTGGAGCTCTGTAGAGATGGGCCTGGGAGTGAGAAAAGATTGTGAACAAATTATTCAATTGACAATAATCTTAAGCAATGCTTCTGAATGAAGACACTTTCTCTGTAGAATATTTGCTGGTTTGATTGGCTAATTGAGTTCACCAATCTCAGGATATGGGGAACAAAATAAAAAATCTAGGGTTGATTGACTTAATAGATTAGACCATGCATCAAGAACAATTTAATTTCCTTTGCACTAAGATAAAGCTCCATTCTCTGGCC